GATTGGGGGAGGGGGAGGGATATGGGAGATGGTGGCCAGGAAGAGACAGAAATCTTTAATAAATAATAATAATAACAATAATAATAAAGAATTTCTTCGTTAGAGAGCTTTAAAACTTTCCCTTCCTTCCTTGTCCCTCTCAGAGCTGCAGAATTCCTTCAAGGAGCACATCCTGTGTGATCCCAATGAACACATCAGCAGGAGACCTGGTCCAATTGAAGCACTGAAGAGGCCCTTGCTGCGAATGCAACAAGGCTTCCCCCTCCTCCCTGGGGACGCCTGTAAGGAGCCAAAAAGGCTGAAAACAGTGGCAGAAGGGGGGAAAAAAGCATTTCCCGTAATTTTTATAAGTAACTATTTTTGCAGTTCTCATTTCCATCTAAAAATGAAATGACTATTTGTTGAAAAATGGGAATTAATTTTTACCAGTTTTAAAGATGCTAAAGACTCAAATTTCTTTGCATGTGTGTGTCAGTATGTTTATCCTGTAATTAAATTTAGATGAAAAACAGGCATGCTGGCAATTTAGTTAATTGTGATGTGGACCATATTTATTCACCTGGTGAAACAGGAACGACTCTTTCCAGGGGAGCAGTTTCAGTTTTTCAGAGGTTGCTTATGACGCATTTACTCTTTAGTCTGTTCTGGTTTTCCTCTGCTTACCAAAGAAGCAGATAACTGAATGATTTTTTGAATACTCAATTATCTAAAAAATTATCAGCTTACTGTTTACTATCTCTTCTTTTTTTTTTAACTTTTCTCTTAACCAATAAAGAGAGAGCGAAGCAGAGGGGCCGGTGGGACAGCCCTGAGCCTGTGTCTGCCTGTGCAGCCTCTGTCTTCTCGTCTGTGAAACCAGAGCAGGGCAATGTGTCTTAGGGAACTTTATGGAGATTAAATAATGAGACTTTAATTAATGGCAAACATACTGAGCACTAGATAAATGCTATATATGAGGTTGTGATAATGATATAAATAACTTTCCTGAGAACATTTATCCTAAAGCATTTATCCTAAAAACATGCTCTACAGTTATTTCCTAGTATGAATTATGCAAGCCATGCCTCTTTAATGAGTCTTTATAAAACGCATGCACGTGTATGTGGACAGCAACTACAATCACCACACATTACCCATATGTAAAGAAGTAATGATTAATACTCATTTAAATACATGTTCACATAAATATTCTGTTGTTATCACTTTCTCAGTCTTTCTTCAGGATTTAGGACTCTAATCATGTCTGCCATTTATTCTTATTGATACTGAGCTTAAGCATCAAATTCACTATCTGTCGTCAGAAAGACGG